TATATATATATGCTGTCTTTAATCAAGAAGAATCAAGAAACATTTTTTTAACAATTTTTTTGATGCGACATAAAATATTTGAAAAGCACATATTGAACAATATACTAATTTTCTTTTTTAAAAAACTGATCAACAGGCTATGCGTTGAAGAAACATGCGTGTACAAAAATCGTTATTAAACGTATGTTCAAACGTAAAACGTACGTTTTTAAGTAATGAAACTTCATTGTATATCACCTATTATTGCTGCTTTTTCAATCAAATATAGATTCTCCTCTCCGTACAACATTTTATGTTTGCATTGTGTATTCCTTAAATGTGTTTCTGTTTTAACTCGCATTATTTTGTGTTCAGAAAATAAATAATGTTGTAAAATGAACGGAATTTATGCTTTTGTCATATTCTAATAATTTCTGTCTTTCTCAACAATATAAATAAATATATATTAAATGTCGAGGTAAATGTAAATTTATAAATAAATATTAAATGTCGAGGTATCAAATGAAAAATAACTAAACGAATCATCAATAATTTTAAGTTTGGAATGCTAAGTTGTCAAAATCCCGCAGGATTATTAAATCTCAATCCCACAGATCTTAAAAAAAGCGCTGGATTGCATTCCTTACATAATGACGAATTAATTATTGAGTTTTTTTGGAAATAATCTTTTAGTCCTTTTAATATATTAAACTCAATACTTACCGAATAAAAAGTTTTACTCCATAATAAAAGCATTTTCAATACATATAAATTTTTTATTGTCTTGAGTCTTCGATGTGACATGTTACATCAGCATGTTTCAAAAATACTTGGGAAAAAAAAAGAAAAAAAGTATTTAAAAAATATCTGACCCTAGGGCTCGAAACTTTAACTTTAGAGGATTTTTCTAATTGAATCGTTTACCGCAAATAAATTACGTGTTCTGTTTTTTTTTTTTTTTTTTTTTTTTTTTTTGCTATAGATTTTTCCATATTTAAACAAAAATGAAAGATATGAAGATACTATTAGGCTTGCCAGTAAATAAATTTTGTAAACCAAAACCATTAACTACATGATAACCTATTAACAGTCCATAACCTATAAAAATATGTTAAGTCACCAAGAAGTTGTGCAATATTAAGAAGTTAATTTAAGAAGTTAATAATTAAGAAGTTAACTTTTGTAATAGCCACGACGTGCTTAAAGTTAGTAAACACTTCGGTTCTCTTTGTTCTCGAAAAAAATTCTACAAAATTTTAACTTTTATATATTTAAAATCAATGTCAACAAGGATTTTTCTTTTAATACTACAGTACGTGAAATACATTTTTCAGCGGAAAAAGATGGTCATGTCTGGTATCGCCAAGTGAGCCGCTCCCCTGCGTCTACAAATGATATGTTTCGCTTACAAGAAGCTTTGGATAATGAGCTGGTAGAGCAAGATGCTCGAGAAATGGGAATATGTCCTGTCAGGAGACGCCTGTACGATCAACTCATGGAAGAATTAGTGCGCCAAGAGTTAGTGACCTGTCCAGAAAGAGGTAGACTGTTGCGAATGGTGCAAATGGAATGCCAACTATCTCTAACTTCAACCGTCACTGGATACGAAAGTGCGGTTGCATATGGATTGAAAAAGCGTTTGTCATCTGGTCAAGAAGCATCCAGATTATCTTCCCTAGTGTCCGAGTCCCTGATGCTGTTGGCAACTTTGGAACAAGAGGTGAGGGAGCTTGAACCGGAGATTGTGAAGATAAGGGAAGGACTTGTGGAAAAGGAAGTTGCCCAACAAAAAGAGTTAGAGGGTGAAGAATTTGTTTTAAAGGATGAAAACGAACGCATTTTGCGGCAGATGATGGATGTCATAAATATTAGCTTTGATACAGAAAACTAAGCAAATTCTGAAAATTATTCTGTGGAATTTCGTGTTTCAAAAGAATAATAAGGAATAATAATGTCTTTTTTCTTTGTGTTTTCGTTTTTAAACAAATAAATAAAATAAAGCTTTGAGAGGAAAAAAGACCTTTTTGTTTGCATTTCTTTTGTAACTTGAAACTATCCTGACTATTATTTTTAGTTTCCGTACTTCAGAAAGTATAATTTCCCCGTTTTTTTTCATTATCTGTTATATTTTATATCATAGACAGTTTGTAAAATCAGCAATATGTGTATCAAGGGATTTTTTTTTCTTTCTTCAGATTTGAGTATTACTACTACAAGTCCAAGTTATGGTTATTTTCTGATATGTTTCTGAAACTTTGTAAAATGGAAAAATAAATCTCACTGTCTTTGAAAATAAAACAGTATAGTAGTAGGTAAATCATTTAAAATTGAAAACATATTACAATTTGAGAGTTTAAATTATAACAACTGGTTATTAATGTCATCATATTTACAAAAAATGTTATGATATTTACAAAATTCGATTTATAGTAGTATTTAGAATAAATTTTTTACCCTTTATTATAACTTAATGGGTTAAAAAAACTCTTACTTTAAAAACAAAAATGCTTCAAAACAGTTGTTTCCTAATGTTAAAAGAGTAAAAGGAATTATCTGTTATTATTTGCAAGGAAAATTAATAACTAAATAAATTTACATCTTAAGCAAATCTCATGCTTTACTGACACCATGAAGAGTGTTCGTAACTCCATTTTTTTAATTTATTAAATTAATATTATTATAAAAAGTATATTAATTTTTTTTTTATTCTACCACATTTCTTTTTTATAATTTTTATGACACTTCCCTTTAAAAAAATTTAAAGAAAAAAAATTGCGAGGAAAGGAAAGAAAATTTCACTCTTTTGAGGAAGTAAACGCAGAAACTTGATAACATTTTAGTAATTTTCGGTTTGAAAATTTAGTTGTTGTATAAACTATGACAAAAAAATGGAGAAGGGGTTGATGAAAAATTTTGTGCACAATTTTCTACATGTGACATATCATAGTAGATATAGCACCCACTTCATGGCTTCGCCACCGCTAAGAGCCTCTTTTCGGACATATCTTTCTGAATCGTTTTGCACCCAAGCTGGTACTCCTTATTCTTTCTAAATAAAATGTAACTTCTTTGATTTGTATGTGTTACTGTGAATAATCGAAATGGGTGGTTGTTGATTTCCACCGGCGAATCACATAATCACTTTGGTAAATGCCCCAAATATATGCTAGGTCTAGTTAAGTGCCACTACCCAGTATACATTTGCCCGGTATGCCCTACATCAATTTTTTTCAGGTCAAATGCTACTGCCCGGTATGCATTTAACCGGTACAAACACTGATGTTTTTCCTAATCAGCCGATAGAAAAATAATAGAATGTTGAATGAATAAAAATTATGATGGAAGGAAAATTGCGTACAATTCATAACTATTGTAAAATGATTAAAGGTGCCAATAATTTTTTTAAAAAACAAGATAGGTATAAATTATCAAATTAAAAAAAATAGTGCGTGGAGTCTCCGCGCGGGGGAAGTTAAACTTTCCGCTCGCTTCCGTGTTCTGTAATCACGGTAATATTGTGCGTTTTTCCCTCTTGAACCAGTGGAAGTGCTTGTGGTTGCCTCATCGTCTCGTCCTGGAAAATGTATTTGTATTAATAATGTATGTGAATGCGTCATAATGTAATTTCAGAAGAGAAACAATCAATTGATATTCACAAGAGACGTACCTTGACATAACCTTAAATCCGTCGCATTGTCCGTGGGATTGTTTTCACTCATTTTTTACAATTGTTATCCACTAAATTTGAAAATAAAAAATACTACCCTATTAAATTATATGTGTATCAAATCAAACTAAAAAAATATTTATAGAAAAACAATACTTTTATTATTTTTATGCTAGTGAGAACCAAAACAATATGGAAATGAATGAGGGAAAACTGGATCCTACCACGTGATTTCCCGGCCAATAAAAATACGTTAAAAGCGTTAAACGTTTAACGCAACCTTGTTGGAAGTCGCATAAGAAGTATAACTTCAAAAAGAAAACATGTAAGTTACTGTATATGACAGAAATGGGTGGTTGTTGACTTATTAACAATCACATAGTCGCTTTGGTCCGAGAAAGGTCTAGTTTCCCTACTTTGAAACTTTAAGGTTCAGTGCCACTGCTCGGTATACATTTGCCCGGTATACCCTACATTCATGTTTTTTTTTAAAAGTTCAGTGCCACTGCCCAGTATGCATTTAGCAGGTACTGTTTTGTTTCTTCTAACTACCAATGTTTCTTCTAATCTATCCTCAGCAGATGTTAAAATATCGAACAAATGTAACAATATCTACGAATAAATTAATGTAACAAATCGGATGTAACAAATATTTCAGACATTCAAAAAATGTGGTATGTTGACATTCACCGGTGAAAGTCGACATTCTCTTGATTTCGTTCATTCACGGTAACATTTCAAGTTATAGAAGATTACATTCGGAACTCATAATTTATTTTTTCCATAGACACACAATTATAAATTTCCTCTCTTCGAGTCCTTTATAAAACCATGGAATGATGTAAGAAAAAAAAAGTATAGTAGCAAAAGAAGTAAAAATAAGAGGTGATATACCAGAAAAATAAATTGGTTTGTGGAATGAAAAACATCAGTCACACGTGTTATTATTAAAACTAAAATATAGTTCCGAATTATTATGTGAGCTGCATAAATTAATACAGCATACCTACCAACATCGGAGAAATAAAATAACGGAAATTTTACTAACAAACCCAATTTTGGGTACTGATGTTCCACTCTTGTAATTCTGAACCCAATTCAGAAGACAAGGGATCTCCTGGATCAAGTATTGGGAGAAATTTGCCTACGTGGGGGACTTTTTTTTAAGGAAATAACCGGTATTTGAATTACATGGAGAAGAAAAGCACGATTAGCCTGACGACAAGGGGACTTTATCCCGTGATCCATCAACCACTGAGGATATTTCACGACAGTTCTGTGCAAGCCGGATGCGGAATTCGTATGGACCAGTCATCGCTGGGATTAGAACATTGGTTCGCCTCACTGGAAGACAAAATCTCAATTCACTGAGCAATCTTGGCTCGACTTAAATAATTTACACTCAACATACTGTAGTACTGGCAATAGCACCATCTGTTGAGAAATAAAAGAAGTGTTTTTTGCCATTAATGGATAATTTATCACCAATTTTTTTAAAAATTTCTTCAGCAAACGGAAAATTTTAAGAATATACAGGGGATAGTCAGAAAATACAGGAGTCTTCGTTAAAAAACTGGAGACTTGGCAGGTATGATACAGGGTGAGTCTTGACCATAACTGAATAAATAATACAGGAATCATATTCTAAGTTTGTAGAATCAGATAATATGCAGGGTTCTATTCAGTTGGTTATAGGTCCAACTACCCAAAGAACATTGAATTATTTCCATTTTGTGTTATTCCCATTTAGTTTATTTTCGAGTTTGTATGACTTTCCGTGGATAACCGAGAGCTGTATTTGAACATGAATGAATAAGAAAGTATTTTATGAACGGTTGAACAAAATATAGGGAGAGTGTTGAACTAATAGTAAGAATTGAATATTTGTAAATAATATCAAATGGAGTATCTGAGATTTACATAAATCAATTAATTTTGAAACATGCAAAGCTGTAGTTTGTTTTAATCTTTAAAACGATCAATACTTTTTTTTAACTAGTTGTCTCTTCTGTCTATTTAGTATGTATTAAATTCTAATGATGACTGCTACACGAGATGAGAAAAATAAATAAGGAAAATAAAATGGTAGAGATTTCTTCGAAAAAACAAAGGTGACTTTTCAGGCGAACTTTTGCTGTTACATTTCCTCTTCTTTATCAAGACAAGAAAAAAAATTAGAAAAATTGGTTGCATCTGAGTAATTGAATAACAGGGTTTAAACATCTTTTTCTTTTTAAAAAGAATACTTGTTCTAACTCATTTTATTCTACTATTTTATGCTAAGAGGCTTTTGTTTTCAAAGAGGAAAAAATGCCATAAGCTAATGACTTAGAGGGAAAAAAAAACATGTTCTTTTCGAAAAACTCTCTAGCAATTGCGCAGTTCATGATCAAACTAATTTTGACTACTAATTTTGAAATTTGATGAGACAAAATCTTATTTCTTAAACAGAAAGCAGCAAACACAACATTTCTTACATTTATCATTGATTTTTCATCTCGTTGTTCTTTTTTTAGGACAACCGGTAAGATAATAAATATAATATGTATTATAAGTCGCTGAATATCCTGAATGACTATCATGTATGTTTGAATGGCCCTATATATCAACTTTTCAAGGTTTCACGTGTGTCTGACATGCATCAAATAAATTTCATATCGACTTTACAAATGTTGAAAAAAAAGAGCCGCAGTGGTTCAGGAGTAATAGTGTTCGCCTCACAATGAAGGGATCCAAGTTCAAATTTCAAGAGCGGCTTTTGGATGCGAATTCTGTTCCTGGCTCGATCCGACAACAGTGCTGACGTAAAGTAGTAGAGGGATCACGGGTTAAAATCTCCATGCAATCGGGTTAACCGTGAAAGGTTCTCATGATATTTCTCTCATTGTAACCCAAATGCTGGTTAGTCAATACCTCCTAGAAGATGGAAGGCGGGTTACCATACACAAGAAAGTTGATTCTTTAGTAGTCCAAATGTAATGACATCTTTTCCTCCACTACGCAGCTAAGTAGTCCGAACGTAGTGACATCTTTCTTATTTTTTCTCTACTGTGCAGTTTATGTTCGTTACGTCGGACTACTAAATTATTCCGTGCTCTTTTCTAGGAGCTGTTGGGATAGTTCCATCGAAAAATTCCTCCATGAAGGCAAGTTTGGTCCATTGCTTGATCCAGGAGTTCCCATGTCTTCTGTATTGTGTTCAAAACTAGTACAAGGCTAGGAAGTAAAGCATTGGTAGCCGTAAACTAAAAATTGGGTCGGCTGTTCAACGACGGTTATAAAATAAAATGTTAAAAAAATGACGAAATTTCAATTTCCCAAAATAATATAAAACACACACATAAATAAGTATATATTA